ATCTCGTTGATGGAACAACACCTGGCTTCGCACTCTCCTTACTAGTCGGCATCGGTGGCTCATTACTCCTACTTGGTTTCTCCAGACCCGGTAAGGCTGGGCTCAAGGAGGGTGACCTGATTGGCAGTCCCGAATCCAAGTCAAAGTAACCACCATTGATATCTCTTCCGATATTGGGAGGGAGATCTGCCACATGACCAGCCGGCGCTGCTATGCTTTTTCGAAAGTCGGGCAAGGATCGCGTAGCAGAATCTGAAGCGCGACGGTTAATATCAAAAGCTGAAAGAGTCAAAGAAGAACCATGTCTATTAGGCGTTCCAGGTCGGCTGTGGGATCGAGGAGGGATTGGTGCTGGAGGAGGCGCAGGCGCATTTGGGTCCAACATGCTTCGAATGACTTGGCCCTGGGGTCTGACAGGCGCTGGGGCAGCCATGGGCGTAGAAGCAACCGTCGCCGCAGCCGATGATGCGGAACTCGTAGAAGGAGGAGGTGCACTAGAAATATCCAGCATGCTCCTCACCACAGGAGGCTGTCTACCCGGACTATGACTCGCATGGCGACGAAGGGAGTTGGAGCGAGAATGGATTGGTGATGTAGTGGAAGGACGAGGCAACCCACTGCCGCCAGAGCCAGGGGCGGCGGATGTTGTGATCAATGGTACATCGGTAAGAGGTTCACCTGTGATAGCATTGCGATAGTGACGATATGATGGGTTTTGATGCGAAGGTTTTGGGTGCTGCTTAGTACTATTGCCTTCAAGAATTTCCAAGATGGCTCGACGTTCTTCATCGAGCGCTGCTTCCAAAGACATTCCTGGTTTTGGTCAGTTTGCCCGTCTGTCTGCCCGTCTGCCTGTATCTACCTGCAAAATCCGTGCTTCCTCAATTCTGTCACTGGAACTTGATGAGACCACTTCCTACAGCTCCTTATTTTCTGTATGGTAAACCTCTTCGGTTAGAGCAGCAGTGGTCGTGAATCGAGGTGTGGTTGATGTTCTTATGGCGGGAAGATCCCAACGCACAATTTACGTTGCGTGGCGTGGTTAGGGAGGTCTTGGTTTCTTGGAAGTCCTGGGTGGAGCGGGAAGCAGTCAGAACTCGACACGCGATGCCGAGAGAAGGATTTGGGGAAGGTACTGCACGGCTACAACTAGGAAGCGCGGGCCTTGTGCAGGGTAGCAAAAGGGTTATGCCTGCAATGATTGTTGAGATTCAATATGGTATTTGAGGAATCTGAGGCATTTTCAGATAAGCCCTGAGGGGAGCATAGGGGAGGACGATGTTGCTTCGGGCTTTTATAAAAGGATGGAAAATAGGATATCCGGTGAACGGGCCAATTCATGGTGTTATTTTTTTGATCTCCTGGTGGACTTCTGTTTGCTAGATTCAAGTTTCCCGGACTCCTGGTTCATCTTTCGCCTCTTTTGCCTTGCTTCCATTGCTTCGAATGCTTCTTCAGGCGGCTCATCCATTATGCTTTTTTTCCCTCCGCCGTACTTATTCTCTAATGCTTCTATAAATGCTTCTTGACCCGCGCGTCGGGACTCCTGCCTCTGCTGTATCATACTTAGTAGGTTCATTTCGCTGCCGCCCGCACCCTTCCTTTTGCCCTTCTTCTCCTTCTCAGGGTCGTCAGTCCACTTCTCTGTCTTCTTCTTTTTAGTTTCTTTGCTTGCTTCTTTTGCTTCTCTTAGCGCCTGCCGCTTTCGTCTCTCTTTCTTTTGCCTCGACTCTTGTGAGAAAGCCTTATATTCCACCACCTCGCCCTGTTTGATAGCTTCCCAAATGATCTTCGCGAATCGCGCTTCATCTCCTTCCCCTTCGACAGCGGCGACCTCGCTCAACATCACAGTACTGAAGATTTTGTCCATGTTCCCCTTATACTTCTCGTACGCTGTCAGTATATCCCGCCGTTCCTCGTCACTACCTTTGTATTCCGCTTTGAACTTCTCAATTGTAGCTTCAGATACTGCATCTTTATATGCTGTGCTAAAGAATTCTACCCAATTGGCTAGGGCATCTGCATCGTCAAATTCAGCCGTTGAACCGGTAGTATCATATCTGTTTCTGCGCTTCTCATCTGAAAGAATAGCATAGGCGAAAGCAATTTTTTGGAAGTTGCTATGGGCTTCGTCCTTTGTTTTTGAGTCTGCTGAAGGATGGACCTTATCCGGATGGTGCTTTAGGGCAAGCTTGCGATACGCTTTGCGTATATCTGACTGCGTGGTCGTGACAGGGATGCCCAGGACTTCATAAAGGTCGAGACCCTTATTCACAAGCTCTTCCAGAGATGGCACAGACTCGCCCTGAGACATTGGGGCGATACGGTGAGAATTTTAGGCTTCGAAAACTGGGAGATCTCTCTTAGCCCTTTGCCTCAGTGGGACAGATTGTCGAATAAGTCTCTCACAACCGTGGGAGGGAAGTTTGCAATACCTCTAACCTTGTCGTTCACTGCTGGTGAAAAGTGACCTGTGATTCCTTGTCAATTCACCGTAGTCAGGCAATGAGGTTCTTTTGACTCACCAATTCAATAACTACTCTGCTGAAGGATCGCAACTGTCACTGTCTGCTCATCCTCCTGGCCCAGTATTGCGCAAATTGGCACAACATCGATATACCGACGCGTCAATCCGCGTCGCGTGCGCGTATCCACGATCTATTGGTCTGATATAACTACGGAAGAACAACCGAAGGGATGCCATCGAGAAGAATGTCAGACAGCGCAAATGATTGATACTGACAGCTTTTTCATGGCATGTCATGTCATCATAGAATCTCGTCTCAGGAGCCTGTCAATCATGCCCATGAAATCAAGTTGCTACGCATCCCGTACGCATCATTTCCAACCACGCGGTTCGGCTCGAAGCCCCCTGACAGGAGTGTCCTTGGTACAGCTATCGTCTTGAAGCAGACGTTGTTGCATAACCTGCGGTGTGAATGGAGTCCCTGCCATCCTTGTTCGCAGGTGATGGTGCACTTCAAGAAGAAAGGTTATCAAAATGTATTTATGGGATGCTATTAAAGGAAACATGCCCCTACTGAGGATGGAACCCCGGACCTCCAATAACTTGGATGTGTGAACATATGAGATCGGCGTAATAACCAACTAGACCATGGAGGCTACGAACTTACTATGATAACCTATACAGATAATCATAGAAATAAAAGACGGATCTCCGATCAATGGGACACTTGAATCTTTACAAGCTATTCAGACGGTTGGCAATCAGCGATGATCAATGCTGGTTACGAATAACAGTGATTGATTCAAGGTCAAACTATAGGACGATCTGTATCAAGCGACGAAAGTCCCGGCATAGCATACGAAGTCGAGAGCAAGTGCAGTGAGGTCATCGGGCAACATTGAAGGGCAATAATGTGCAAAGCCCGGGGAGAAAAGAAGGCACCATTTCATTTCCTCTACAATACCAATTACCAATCGCTGAGTTTGATTGAAATTATTTGCTGGAACTACTGGTTTATTTTCCGTGTGCAGCATGTATGTTCCCATGACATATTCTGTCTAATCCAAACGCCGGGTGTACGAACATACCGGGTGCGATGATTTCACGCATGCATCGAAGCACGCAATAGCTTTTCTGACGCCGTCATTCCGGCACTGCCGTTGATGTTGGGGCTTTACCAATGTCCACACACGGCGGATTGATACCTGGGGAAGGGCCTTTGCGGAGCATATCTCCGGTAACTTTAGTCGTTGCTGATCAATTGATCGAGATAGCCTTCTCTCATCGTCGGCTGTGCAATCCAGAATACATAGGAAGATCGAGACATATATAACGATGGGTCTTGGGGTCTCTGCATTGCTTAACTGTGGCAAGTTGGATTGTCAAGTGGTTGCCATTGACTGCTCGCGACTCTTGGGAGACTAAATCGCTTGACCACCATGGCCGCTTCATCGAAGCCTAATTTCCTCATTATTGTCGCTGGCGATCTCGGGTTCTCTGATGTCGGTGCCTTTGGCAGCGAAATTGAAACCCCCAATTTAGACGCGCTAGCACAAGATGGCTTGCGCTTCACAGATTTCCATACTGCGAGCGCATGCACCCCTACGAGGAGCATGTTATTGAGCGGGACTGATAACCGTAGGTTCGGAAATCAGCTTATTCAACTATAGTTCCATGTGGCGGTGTCAGCTGACATTGTTCTAATATTCTAGACATCGCCGGTGTTGGCGCTATGATTGAATCAATTCAGGAATTTCAAAAGGGTAAACCCGGTTATGAGGGATATTTGAATGACAAGGTTGTTGCACTGCCCGAACTAATGCGGGATGCGGGATATTACACCTTCATGTCTGGAAAGTAGCATTTGAAGTTCGTAAGGCAGGAATTGGCTATCTATCTTTCAAAGATGTAACTGGAAATTATCAG